CTTCGCCAGCCTGTCAGGTCAGGTCCCCCAGAGAAACTCTGAGAGCTTGCAGAGAGGTACGGTGGCGAGCTGGCGAAATGGGGGAAGCATACACAGTAGAGAAGAAAAGGCACCTCTCAGCCCTAAACTCAATGCTACTCGGCATACTGCGACAGCTGCCCCTAAGAGGCATATTCCCATGGCGATCGCGTTTCCATTGGTACTCCTGCCACACGATCACCGTCGCATTCCAGGTGACAGAGTCCGCAGATCTGAATATCACCCCGCGCGACAAACCTCTCCAGTGGTCTTTTGTGGTGATAGATGCCCTTTTCGCCGCCAGACGAGCTGTCTTCTCCCTGCCGATCGCGGAAACAAGCCAGGGGGAAGCTTCTGTCTCGCGTGGCGACAGCTCGTCGCCTGGCCACCCGTGGCATCCTGCCCATTGACCAGTGGAAACGCTTGTCTCCGCTGCCTCAAGGGCTTCTTGTTCGCTTGTCGCCTGTCCTACAGGGAGCAAGACCGATTGTAGGTGGCACTGGGGGCACTGATCCGTCCTCGAGGTCCCGAAAGGGAGCACTTGCACCCACAAGGAGCCAACTGGCAAGCGAGGATCGCCGTCTCGGCTGCTGCTCTACAAGGGGAATGCCCTCATGCAGCAGGTAACAGGCCAGTAGATAGTGAAGAGGATGTGAATCGCGAGATCCTGCAGCCCTAGCCCCTTCTCGCCTACGGTCCTCACACTCCTCCTTCACCCTCGCCCCCCCACGTTCCGAGCCAAAGGCCGGAAAGGGTGTGGAAGGGGAACACCGCCACGAACTCGCGATCTTCCCTCATAAGAGAGCTCTCGGGTGTGGCAAAAGCCTCAAGTTACCGCTTCAGGAAACCGACAGGCCTCATGTGTCATCGCCATTGGCTCACCATTGACGTTCCAGCGGCAAGACAAGCGTCACTCCGCTACCGAGCAGAGAAACCTAGTCCCTCACTGTGGCTGGAGAGGAGGTGGAGGATGGGGTAAGGAGAAACGAGGAAACAAGAAGGGGGATTCTCACCCCGAAGCCGCTCTGTCCTGGAGGAAGAAGGAAAGTCGTAGAAACAAATCGGAGAAGAAAGAGACAAGGCATCGTCGGTGTAAGAGCGCGGAGAGGGCACCAGAACCTCACCTCCATCAACCAAGAAAGCCGCGTCGAGCGTTGGTCCATGGGGCGTCGTCGACTCTTATCCTCTTCAACTTGGCGAGAGTCCCTTGTGGCTGGGTCCAGGACGTTCCTCTTCTGATGGAACCCCTCCGCCATGCCTCCCGAGTCCCGAGCCCTCGTGGCACCCCTATCCTCGGCGATCCCAAGAGTCTGGAATCGTGTAGGGGTCCTGTCACCCAATGAGCGGCCCAGATGTTGGCGAGATAGAAAGTGACTTCTTCCTAACGAGACCCCAAAGACACTCACCCCTGGGCCGCCCACTGCGTCCGACGGCTGCAAAGGCCGCACCTACGCACGAACGCCATTTGTTTCCCCCATCCGTCCCCCTTCAACTGTGGCGAGTGCATCAGACCAGAGCCAGTCAGAAGTCGTACCTCTTCCACACCCGGCGCACACCCCCCGGGGAAGCAGCAGCTCAGCCACTTCAGCCACGCAACTCTCCACACATCTCGGTCGAACGCTCCAAGTGTGGCTCGCCTCTAAAGCCACATGAAGCAAGTGATCGACATCTTCCCTACACTTGTGGCGGATGAGGTCGAAGCCGAACAGAGGCCTTAAACCCTTCGCTAAACCTAATTGCTTTACGCGAAGGGGCTGAACCCTTGGCCAGCTGAGATGTCATGGTCTTGATGAATCTGACTGGATACTTCCCCTGAAGAATGATGCGAACTTGGGATATAGTTTGGAGTGATCTTCATGCCACGGAGGATCATGGGCGCCGGATTATCGATCTGTGGCACCAACTGTGGCTAGTAGCCGCGCAATCATGGCGCATTCTGTCTCGTCACAGACGCACAGAGGTCATCTGGAATGCAACTGCCCTCCTTTTCTTTGCATGAAGTATCTTCGTGTTCAATAGACACCGCAGAAGCTGTGTGACAAGGCTGTCTCTCCAAGGTCTCTCGTACAGCTCGTTGGGTCCAGGCTCTTCTGCGTGGTCCTGGAGATGCTCCCTCGGTCGTCAATGATCAGCGTGTAAACCCTCCGTTTTGGGAAGCCGGTTGAGCCACTCCCTTGTGACAAAAGGTCCCAGTCTCTCTCGTATCTTGAGCCACTCAGAAGAGTCTGCCGAACGGCTTGGGAACTGATTTGTGGCGAGTGCTCTGCACCGTTTCTAGGCCGTGGCTGGCACTCCATCTCCCAATGTACCGGTACTTGGAATGCAGGACCTGTGGCTTCACCCGCTCGCGTAGACCTTCATCGTGCACTCGTGCCGCTGCATGATGCAGACCCTTCGGAAATCATTAACTTTCAGGTGCAGGGTCTCGCAACCGCGTCTTCGCGACATGGTATGAGACGCGTGGCCGGAGGAGTGCTTACCGCTGCTTTTCTCCCGCTGGGTGATTTGGTGTGTACAGCTCCAAATTCTTAGACAATGTCTGAAGAATTTGAGACATTATCAGGCTCTGGTGCAAGTTGGGCAATCTTCGAAGTATCCCTACGCTATTTTCCATCAGCAATGGGACCATGGGGTCGCATGCGACTGGGGCCGAAGGTGCTACCGTTACCTTTAGCCGCAGGAGATCGACCTGGTAAGGCGAAAGCCTCGCTTTCCGCATGCCAAGGTCGTTTTCTGACCCCGAATTCCCCGCACGCAGGCCCCTCTTTGAATGTATCTGTCAGGAAAGTTCAAGGCTGCCAGCGAAATGTGCCGCGAATTTCTCTGCGATGTTGTGAGATTTGTTGGGTTTGGCGTCTTTCAGTAACATTTCCACATGACTAGACGGTATTTCAATCACAAACCCTCTCCTCGGCATTCTAAAGTATCAGACGGTACGGGCTACTGGTGCCGAAGACATCAGACCAGAAGATCAATTGGGAGATCTAACAACTCTCAGTCTGTTAGCGTAATGTGACACAATCCAGTCGTCGCCGTGCGTGATTCAGAGACACAATGTCGCTCAAGGGCTTGTCCTTTAACATCGTCTAGCAAAGGAGGTTTCGTGCGGCCATATGGTTGCGGCCATACATGAGGCCGGTCGTTCATCTTGCAGCTCTAGCCTCGGGCGGCCTCCATCATAGACAACTTTGGTCCAGACTATGGAGGTGATGTGCCTGTGGTATGATACGGCATCGCCTTTGGCGAGATGATACCATGATACGTAGGCGATCAAATCGGATGAGTGTGGGTGGTTGTTGTGTACGCTGGTGTCGTGGTATCAAGCTCTTCGAGGTCAACACGTTTGCTGCTCGAAAGTATCGACCAACAACCATTCTTTACACACCCCTCAGCCACAAGTTCTTGGAGGTAGCCGAGCAACGCAGCATCCAACACGCTCATGATGGGCCATTGTAGTCGTAGGTAGTGCCCATCTTTGGTCCTGTGGTGCATCGCTTGCGCCACATGTGGCTTCTCGGCCTCACGGCACGGATAGGCGTATGTAGGTCGGCTTACTAGCTCAACCTTCAAATTTGACTCATGTTTGGGTCATCCGAGGGAACGTCTTCGAGCGAATGAGACAAGAGTCCATGGCGCTTCCAGACCCTCGAAACACGCAAGCACTCGCCACATCGTTAGTGGCTCGTGAATCTCAAAAGGCAACGAGAGGCGGCGATCGCTGTGGCTTGACGTAGAGCAGTGAGGGGGATTGTCGGGCGGCCTCGCGAGGTATCTTGTACTGCGCCGATCGTACGGCATGGCCGGAATCCGGCCGGTGTGTAAGTGTCTCGCCGGGGACGTCGGGGGAATGGTCTGCTGACGGATCGGACGAAGTAAGTAATTGCCCCGCTATTCACCAGTCGGTGGCCGCGGAGCTGTCGCGGTATGTTGCGATGGGCCCCTTGCAGCGCATGCGCACCTGATGTGTCTTCCATCCATACTGAAAGCACTCCATAGGTTGTCAAACGTATTGACTATTTCGCTGACCGAGGCATGCTTGTTGAGTGTTCATTTTACCCCAATTCGAGAATCCCGATCGCAGAATAGCAGCATCATGGAGTGGTATTCAAGCAGCTGTACGGGATTGGTTTGCCATCCTCGATAGAAACTTGTCGCCTCAGCCTTTACCATGTGCTTGCCCAATCTTTATCATCCCGTAGAGTCGTGAGAAAATAAACTTCGTTTGGCCCCGTTCCTCAAAAGTTGTATCTTTCGCTCCGGTTGGCTGGGATTGTTGAACAAACATGAACCGCGGGGGTCAAAGCTCGTAGGAATTACTTGATGCCGTACTGACGAGCCCCAATGTCGGATTCTCTCGTGATTTCACCGAGGACCAGCGCGACGATCTGGATGTGACTCTCAAGCGAGAGCCTCGCTCTCGTTCGAGGGTACGAATACGCCCGGATCCCGTCGGCGCGGCGCGGCGTCAAGGCGTTGGAGCAGGTCGTAATGGGACCGATCGGACGGAAACCGCTGTGTGGCTGGAGAAAGACGGCCGCCTTTCATCGACGATGTCGTGGACCCGATGGCTGTATTCAGGGATTATCCCAGGCGCGGCAGACCGAAACTTTGGATCCGTCTTCATTGCAAGAGGGAAGTCTCCGCTCATGTTGTTCGATTATGATGGAGCAACCGGACCCGCGATGACAGTGGTCTAGACCGTCGACGGCGCTAGTCAAAAAACACTTCGACAGCGGTTTCAACGCCTCCCTGGTGGCTCCCACGGTCGAAATGAGCGCTTCCCACGCGAGATTAGCCACAACATGGCCGTCTTCCAATCATCGTGCATAACGACCTAAACGGCGGCTTCTATGTCCCAGTCAGTAATAACCGCCATGCATGACCTATACGGAACCGACATGAGCACTAGAGTCAGCCATTGTTTCTGTGGTTTGGTCTCTCGGGCCTGGCAATTTCAATTCGAGATATGCTTGATGCGGGCGCTGCGATAATAATGCAAACTTCATGTAAATGCCGTGAATTCTCTGTTCCCGGATAGACCGAAGGAATCAGCGGGTATGTTGCTATGGTACAAGCCACAATGCGTTGCAGTGCAGGGAGCTCGTCTCTATCAATGGTGCCCTCCAATGCTTGCGTCACTCCATCGGCCAAGCTACATGGCTCCTGAGCGCTCAGGAAGCAAAGACACACTCAAGGTGTTGCCTCAAACAAATGAAAGACAGATAGTTGGGTACCAAATAGTATGGTAAAAGGTATGGATGCGTGAAATGAAAGAAGAGATTGAAAAAGGCCGCATCAGAGGCCATTGGCAAGGTCGAAAGGGCAACAGAAGTCCGGATTGTCTGTGAGGTCTTCTTCGTCGTGTGTCTGCCCGTCGCGCTTCCAACGTGCCTCTCCGGAGTGTGCCGAATGGCCCTTACGGAAGGGCGGGATATCTTGTGTGTTTTTTTGCTGCCCAGGATTGCCCATAATGACCCAGATCTAAATACCCAAATCATAAAGTCGCCCACGATTCGTGTGGCGAGAAGCGTTGAAAAGAAGAAGCGGCCCATCCAGGGACTTGGTATCTCAAAATCAACAACGCCTTCGGAGCGATATTCCAACCATGCGTGTGCGAGCGCGTGTATGCCTATGCCACCCATATCCTAGTGGCCTTCCTGGTAACGAGCAGAAAGGAAAAAGGAAGCCCGTCCCCAATCCGAATCCTATCCAATTGTTGCTGAAGTAGAGATGGATCCAATTATGTGAAATTAAAAGTTAAGGCGCAATTCGAAACCGCCTTGAGCAGATGATTGGTCCATGGCGTCGCCATCGCTTGGGTCGATGGCCATGTCCCATTCGCGTTTGAGCTGGACGGGGTTTTCGGGCAAGATCTCCTTGATTTCGAGCCTCATGTCTTGGCCTTCTCTGAGTTCTTGGATGACGTCGTCGTCTATCTCGACCTCGAGACCACGATCGAGAACGTGAACTGTCCGCAAAATCTTCGAAGGGTCCAGGTTCCACTTTGCAGCCACACGATAATTGAAGTCTTTGAGATTCCTCTGGGCCAAGTAGATAGCCCGGTAGTACTCCCGCTTTTCTGGCTCCATTGTGTTGGGTCGGAGAATGTAGAAGCAGGCAGCGGGCTTCACCACGCGCTCTGGAGGAGGACGATAAGCTGGATCCACTCCTAGAGCCTCGATCCAACCGCTCAAATTGCCCGCATCGTCTGTTTTGGTGACCTTGGTAGGTTGGTCTGACCCTTGCCGGGAAGCAGGTTCGCCAGAGCCCTCGCCCTCAAACCCGGCCCATTGACGGTTGGGGACAACTGAAGCCTGAGACGCTAGCGATAGGGAGCTCGGCGAAGGTGATACTAGAGACGAGCCGGCAACAGAACTGCGGCCACTCCGTGCTTGCCATGCTGGACCTTCGCGAGATTCTACCTTGGCAAGTTCGCCTTGCTCTCCAGGAAGCGAAACGGGGTGCAGGTCTGGATCGTCGAGTTCTTCTCCGCGTAGGTACAATACGCTCACAGGCCGGGTACTGGTAAACATATCCTGCAATGTTTGAAGCTTGAAGTGCAAGTCTTCTTCGAGAGGAGGGCGGGTTCCGGCCCCGGCTGAACTGGTGGAGGACATGGACCAAGTTCGCTTGTGTTTCTGAACCTTGCCGGGTCGCTGATCTGCACCCTTGACTTGTGCTGCAGCGTTCGACCTCTTGCGCTTTCCAAAGTCCTTCATGCCGCTTTCCGCTTGGGTTATCTGTTGCTTGAGCTTGTCGATGGTCTTCTTGACGTGTGCAACGTCGTTGGAAAGCTTCCGCTCCGCACCGTGGTCGCGGAACAACTTGACCTTGCAGAAACAGATCTCCGGGTTGGCATCGGCTGCTGGCTGTGCGGTGTCTATCGGGAACGTGCTGGTCTTGGTGCAGAGTCTTACTGGAATGCCCTTGACACCCTTGGAGTGACTAAAGTCGGTTGACAAAAAGTTGAAGCGTACGGCAATGTTGCACTCGGGGGCGCCGTTGATGCCGGGGGTCCAAACCACTGAAAATCCGTCAAAGGAGGACGATTCCAACTCAACACGGGTTCTCTTGTCGTCGCCTTCGGTTGGCTGGCCCGCCTCTACATATTCCACAGCCTGCAGCTTTCCGCCTCGCTGATGAGCCTCGTTTGTGCCTCGTCCCTCTTTCCACAGAGCCCAGCAGACGCCGGGCTTCTGCCTTTGCTGCTCGTCTTCGAAGGAGATCCGGACAAAAGTGCGGAACTTGGTCCCCGGAGCGACAGGCATTGTAGCATTGGTATCGACCACAGACAAAGAGTAAGCCTGGCCCTTGTTGAGATACGTGACGGGAATTTCATCGGCGTGTTTGATCATGGCGGTAGGGGCATTCAAAGTAGCGTGAAACCGGAACTTTTCAGCAGATGGTGGCATGACCGCGGCCATGGGCATGCCTCCGAATTGGCGTCCCTGGAAACCAACCATGGGCGAGTTGTGAAATGCGCTGTCGATAGAAGCCATTCGCTCTTCAGATGGATCAGAGTTCATTGGCGACCCATCTTGCTCCATAGTCTCATATCCGGTGTCTTGATGAACAAATGACGAGGGGGCGAAGGATTGCTGGTGTGCCGGAGGCTGGATAAAGGGATTGAAGGGTTGTTGAAACTGCTGAGGGTGGTGCATTCCTTGAATACCCTGGAACCCGGCGAGGTCCATCATAGGCTGCCCAGCGTGCATTGCGCCTTCAGACGTAGGCATCGACAGAGGGGTCCCGAGACCCATGCCGAGCCCTAGGGTAGGTGTGTGCAAGTCACCTGCTTGAGGATGATAGATGGTGTTGGTGCCTCCCGGCGTGGGAGTGTAGTAACCGGGCGGGGCATTGGCGAAGTTGGTGAAGGAAAACGAGTTGGGGTCGAGCAGTGATGGCGTGAACCTCCATGGTTCATTCGTAGCTCTGGGCGTTGGGTCTTGATCCCTGAAAGCTTCATGGCTGAGGCTGTGGCTTCTACAGCAAGTATAATGTTAGCCACAGGAGTCGGATAAATCAAGCATCTTTTTTGAAAGTAAGTCTGCGCATGAGTCCTCTTGATCCACACGTGGGCAAGAGTACCCCGCGTTTCTGCCTGGACTCATCCCGGCGGGCGCGGCCGGGTGCCGCGAAAGCAACGGCAAAACTCCAGAAAAGGTTCATGATGGTAGTTGTACTGACCTTTCTTGAACGCCCGGAATAGACGGGACCATGCCCGTATTATCAACGGCGGCGCTCGCGGCGCCAACTGGGGCCGTGGTCGTAACAGCTACCTCGGGGAACTGCTTTCGAAAAGTGGCCAGCAGTTCATCGCCGGGTTTTTGGGCGCTTGTTCTGTGAACAGGCACACGAGTCAGTACATGTCCGGGCAGGCGCAAAAAGGTTTCGAGATGGCGCAACGACGCGCGCATCTTGTGCGGGGAGCCGGGCTGCACAGCTATTTTTGTCGGCGCATAACGACAAAACATGGCAGAGCTTACCTTTGGCGAAACATCTTGATAGTAGATCTGCGCGCTGCCTAGTGACAGCGATACCGAGTTGGTGTTCAGTAGTTGCGGGTGGTCTCCCAAATCCAGTCTCTTTCTGGCGAGCGATCGAACGGTCCGAATCCTCGCCCTCGTGTTACTGCTTTGTGAGGCCTGTCTCTTTTTTTCTTCTTCGTCTGCCGTGATTCAGCTGAGCAAGCCTGAACTTCCTTAACGAGCGTAGGTCAGGTGGGGGAAGGCCGAGCTTTGGCGCCTCATAGAGCGGTCGGAAGTGAAAACGAGCGAATGGGTAGGTGATAGCGTCGTACGCGGTCGCGGAACCAAATGGGGAAGAAAAAAAGCCCGATGCGAAATTGGTTCTTCAAATGGTGATGTGCAAAGTCGAATGGGCCGCTAGCAAAGGTCGAGAAGTTGCAGTTCGAGAGGAAAAGGCCGCTCCGGTATGACGTCCGTGGGGAGAGAGCGGTATATTAGAGGATGCGGTGGGTACCTGGCAAGTACGTGTGTGAAGCAAGGTGGACAGACAAGGATGCGCGGCGGAGTCACGATGGCCTAGATGCGCAGTGGGCGTTTCTGTCGATATTGGATCTGCTTCGCCGAGGAGATGAATCGGGCGGGTGTAGCGGCTTGTTTAAGAGGCGCAAACGAGGAGACTTAAGACGTTGGCAGACAGTGACCATGCGCGCACCAGAAGGAACAGCAAGTGGTAGTCTGTTGGTTCGCCAAAGGGTCTCGTAGTCTTGGTGTGTGGTTTCGGGTACGGCTTGTAATTGTGCGTTGCTTGGTACACAACCTATGGTTCAAGGTGAGTAAATGGACGGTAGACAATACGGCGCGTGCGTAGATGAGGTGTGCGTATTATGCTCCGGGGCCGGGAGAGAGGTTGGAAGAGTGCGCAAGAGCGACAAGAGACGCGGCTACGATGGAAGGTCGGAAGAGAACTTCAAGCAAGACGGGTAGGTAGAAGATCCAAGGGAAGAGGGATGGATGGGATGAGCGGTATCTAATGTATGTATGTGTGAATGCGCGCTTGTAAGGCAGAGCAAGGTAAGGTAAAGAGAGGTCAGGTAAGGATGGGGGTGTGCGCGCGGGTTGAAGGACGGTGCAGTGAGCCCTTTGGGCTGGGACCTGGGTTGATGGGTATGAAGATGGATGGGACCTGGGTCTGGGACCTCCTTGGAGGAGAGAACTGGGGCCCTTGGGGCCTTGGGTTAATGCTGGTAAGGGCATGGGTGTGTGGGATATGGAAATGGGTGTTGGAAGAGATGGGTAAATGGGCATGGGTGAGGATGGTCGGGGGGAATGGGTACCTGACGATGTGCTTGGGCGAGACTGCAAAAACAAGTAACTGATGGTACGTACTCTTTTTTCTTCCCTCTCGCTTTTCTTTCCTGTGAGGTTTGCGGTTGTGGGAGTTGGATGAAATGTGGAAGTGAGGTGAGCTACCTTAGTTGATGTCAGGCAGCAGCAGCAGCAGCAGCTGAGTCGAGAGACACAAAAAAGAGGCGGAATGAGTTGCAAGAACTGTCAACGTAGGAGGATAACAGAAGTTGGAGAGGGGATAGCAACAGAAGTGAGGAGAAGTCGGGTAGGAGGAGAAGGATGGAGAAGAAGGCCGGTATATGGGAGACGTCTGGCGGAAGATATGAAGAAATCGCAGTGGGGTGTGTTTGTGATGTATCCAACGGAGGATTTCCGGCAGTAAGGTAAGGTACCTTTTACCTTTTTCCCTGAGGTGCCTGGAGGTGGGTGAGGTGGGAGCAGAGCTGAGCAGAGCAATGATGCACGGCAGAGCGAAGCTGTGTAAAGTACGGATACGTAGAGGGATGATGGATGTCAACTCAGGTACTACTCCGAGAGCGAGAGAGAGAGAGCAAAGTCGAGCTGGGTCAAGTGGAAGAGAGTAAAGTAGGTAGATGTTGAGTATGAGGAACAAACGGTCGCTCGCTCCCTTTGAATCACAGCACCGTGAAGGTAAAGTAGGGTATGTATCCGTACTGCGTAAAATATGGCAGGTAGAGAAACGAGTCGGACGGGGGAGGGAGAACTAGAAGGAAGAAGACGATATTGTGTCGGGTGCCATTGGATTGGAAGTGTGATGTGTGAGGTCGGCCTGCTGCTGGAGCTGCCGCTTCCGCTGCCACTACGCAGCTGGGCTTGACTTTGTCCCTCGTTGGCTTTTCTGGTCGGGTCGGGTGGACATGCGAGGTTCCGACTACTTGCTGTCTTGCGTGAGACACATGGTCAGCCGAGGTAGCGGTACGTGTCGTTGGAGGTGGGACTCGACTTGCAGTACTTGCGTGCCGCTGTTTCTCCCCTTCCTGCAGCTGCTGCTCCCCTCACTCCTGCTCACTCGAGGTAAGGTGAGGTGGTCTGGTCCGTACCTACTCAGGTCCGTACCGCTACCGCGACAGTGAGGTCGTGTGTGGGCAGTGGCAGTGGGCAGGCAGGGGCAGGGCATGTCCATCGGCGGCTTCCTCCACTCGATCCCCCCTCCCTTGCCAGGCCGACTGTCCATCTTGGAAAAAATAATTGTTAGTGCGCGACAATGAGCATTGTATCGCACCCCCCGCTCGCTGGCCCCCCCGGGATGGGATGTGTCGACAAGGCTCAATTATGCACACGCCCCTCGTGCTGTTCAGAAAAAGGACGGCAACGGTTGTACCAATGTCTCTCTCGAGCACCCAAGTATGGATACGTACTCCTTACCCCATCATCATCACTCAGATGGATGTGAGATACGGGAGAATGAGAAAGTGCCGTCGCTGATGTGTAAGGTACCAAGTACTGCAAAGTCGATGAGCAGATTCGGGAACGAACAAGAGAGGCGACCGACGACGTGAGGTAAGGTGAGCTGAGGTGACGGGCTGACCGAATCTCTCTGTTTCTTTCTCTCTCTTTCTCTCTCTCTCTCTCTCCCGTGACGCGCAGCTCTGTGGCCCCATCAGACCGAGGTCAAGTCCATCCTTCCAGTCCAGATGTATCCGTACCCTGCTCTGTCGAGTGTTGTCTCTGGCGCCCCCCAGCTTCGAATAGAGTCACCCACGTTATGCAAAGGGGGCGCGCGCATTCATCACCGCCAGTCAAGCGACCAGTCAAGCTCAACCCCGACGAGTGTGGCACCTCAATCGTGGCTCGAGCTCTTGCACTCTCCGATGTCTTTCTTATTTGGCCAAGCCTGCTATTACGCAAGCTAAGGTGCAGAGTAGTGTATCTGTATCCGTACCGACGGAATACAGCACTATGGATACACTCACAGCATCGCCTCTCTGCCGGGCGTTCTGTTTTGCTCTTGTCCTTCCCCTGCACAGTCAGCCGACACTTTTTCTAACTTCAGTAGACTCGGAGAAGAGAGATTCGGAGAGTGGGGGATGGACAGGGGGACGAAGCCGCGCTACTCCGTCCCAGCGGCGACCTTTCCCATCTGACGTAGTTGCTTTAGCTGACCACTCTCTGACAGAGCCGATTAGTATGGTAGATTGATTGGGATCGCGGCTCGGAATAGACGTGAGAGGCAAAAGACGTTGTCAGTCAATTAAGAAAAGAGTGCTGCGCAAAATGCAAAGGACCACAGAGTATGGATACCATCCACGAAGGCCTTGCTAGCATTTGCGACCTAAGTTGCGGATGCTAGTTAGTGTAAGGTAGTCGGTCCCTCATCTTCGGTTCTGCGGCGGCGCGGCCTGCCCTGGTGCAATCGGGTGGTGTCTCGTGGTCGGGGGAGCTATTCTCACTCTGGCTTGAAGCCTTGAACAGGCGGGAACGGGGAAACGCGCGAGTCTTGTCAGATGGCAGGCCCTTTCTGGCCCTCTTCTGTCTGGATTGGGCCTGGCTTCATACCGGTGTAGGTATACTTTCCCCTCGTGCGCCTACTGCGTGCCTCTTCCCACCCCGAGACAAGGTAAGGTACCTTGTACGCTGCAGCCCGCACAACGTCTGGTCCCTTGGGGTCCTTGGGATCAGATTTCGGCGCCGTCGCCGTTGCCGTGTGTCCCATCTTGGTGCTTGGCTAGCCCTGGTGGTCATTGTTGGCGAGCCGTCATCCGTGTGCAGGCTCGATTGCGACAGGACAGCTTTCCCTCTCGAGCTAACCATAGTAGCAATAGTAGCCAGAGATTGGGTGCAAAGATGAGAATGGAGATGCTCGGTGATGGATGGAGACGGAGACGCAAGTTCGGCCAGCCAAGCAAACGCAGGCCATACCTTAGGCAGGTAGATGCCTTCCGTTTCTTTAACGAAGCAATAAACATCTGGATTGATAGATTGTTCATTGTTCATACGCACCATGTGCCTGAGGCCTAGGCACCTTAGTTGACTCCATAACCGCGGCTGTTTTCCCCATTCGCACTTCGTACCTGCTCCCGTGTGCCGTCCAACCCTCGCTCCTTCTCATTAACCAATATCATCGGGTTTACTATTGAATCTCGATGTAAGGCAGTTGCTACACACAAGGGCTTACCACCTTCAATACTACCTACTTCGCTGACATGGGGAGCTGAGCTAAGGCCAGGCACGGAGTAAGGTACTCTATTCTCTCCTTCTTTTTGTTTACTTTTATGACCAACATGGTAAAACAGCCATGCCACATGTACCAAGGGTAAGGAAGCAATGCTCTAACGCTTCCTACTACCCTGAGGTACCTTACCTTGTTCCGAGGCACCTTCCCGGAAGGAAAGTAGAAGGAAGAAATAGCGCACCATTCAATCCCTCCCGCTTGCTCCTGCCATTCTCTCTCTCTCTCCAGTGTCTACCTTACTTCGTGCCTTCCTTCCATACCTTAAGGTCATGCGGGTAATGGTATTTTTCAAACATGGGAAAGCGCAAAACGCCCTTGCTCAAAACAGAAACACCACACATGGCAGGTGTGCGATGAAGGGCGCCCTACCGAAACTTTAATCGTCAACTGGGCACTTTAAACGGCGCCTTCCTCGCACCTTATCGTCAAGCATGGAAGGTAGTAGTCAGCATTACCTTGCCTGCCTCACTAAACAGTGTCTCTCTTTGTCTGAAGGGGCCTGGGCCACCTCTCTATTACCTCTACCCCAAGCCTCAGCAAGGTACTGAGCTGAGCTGAGCAGAACAGGCATCGCACCTCGACCTTTGCAGCGGCTTGCTCTTTCCCCCGTTCCCTTGTGCTCGGCTCATACTCCATGTGTTGTGTTGGAAACCTTGTCTTCCAGCGGAAGAAACAGAGGATGGGTGCCTTCCATGTTGCGCAAAAGGCACCTTCAGGCTTCTTCTGGGTTCTCTTTCGATGTACCTTACCTTAGGTTCCAACTCCACGGGATTCCCGTCCTCTTCAATAACATCATATCGCCGCTGCCCTCGTTCTCGTCGTCCTGCGTCCTGCGCCCGCGATCTCCATCTTCGAGAACACTGAACCCAAGAATCTGCCAGTGCCAGCCCGACCTCATCTTCATCTGCCCACACTGCCACAAGCCAATTTCCAGTTGTGCATCCATGCGCCTTTTTGTTTTCCCCATCCTCGCATTGGCATTTCCGTGTGCCACGCTCCCTTTGGCTTCATCATTCCCATTAACCCCGCCCCTGGCCCATCCTCTGCTTCCTCTTTTGCCGTCTGCAATCGGTGCCATCCATGCATACCTCACGGAGTGCGGAGTACACTCTTCTTCTTTCTCGTCCACAGGCCTCATCCTTCTCCTGTTAGTCTGCTAATGTGCCTACCGTCACAGTACTATGTGGGCTCGGTGGGTATTGTCTGATTAAGGCGTCGTCTCTTGGATCGGTCCTTTCTTGCGCCATCGCGTCTCTGACAGCTGGATGCCCCATGCCGGCGGCGCCGCTCCGAGAAAACGTTCAGCATTGGCATTAGGCGCCGGAGCTTTGTACAACTTCATCTCCAAAGATGCTCACCGGTGCGGTCCGCCCATTGTATATTCTTTGCACAAAACTTTCATCGCATTGTTACTCGACTCCTGGTCAAAAATCCGCATCACCCCTTCGGACAGACCTCGCCTACCTAGATTGACGCAGCCGCCCAATTGCCTCGGGCTTTAACCAGTCATTCCGCTGAAGGACGCTCGCAATTCTCCGTCTTTGCTTTTTTCGATTAATTTCATCCGGTAACTCAAGACAATCTGCCAGCCCCTCGATCCCTCGTCCAATGCTTCAGACGCACTCTCTACTCCGTACAGGGCGAACTAGTACCGCACCAGTCGTACGGGTGCATTCCATTCAACTCTCTCTGCCTGGCCGCTCTGGCCATAGGTACACAACTAGGAGTCACGAATGGTCAGTGGACAAAATCGGTGTGCCACTTCGTTCGTACAGCAGCACGCGGCTGGGTAGCTCTCAAAGCCTGCAACGCTGCGATGCCTTCCAAGTCTGGTCGAGCCGTTCATCCCCGTCAAACCTAATCCGCGGAACGCCACCTCAAACTGCACGCTCAGCTATTCGTACTCAATCAGTCCGTGCAGCGCTTGACATACCTATTTTTGCCAGTACTCAAAAAGTTGCTTCTTCGTCTTAAGCAGTCAAATAGCCTACCAGAAACATCTACCGCCAAAGAATCAAGCCGGCGTGTACCAATACTTGCACCATCATACCACACCCATTGGAGATTGAAGATGGCTAAGGCTTGCCACAAGACCCCTGGACCCTTAAGCCGTGTGGCTGTGCAATCTCCGTTTTGCCCCTCGCCGAAGCGCCCTAGACGAACTGGAGAGCTGCCGAATCCCAATCGAGCTGTGCCAGGACGGCCAGTGTCCGAAGATAGGGACTTCTGGGTCATTTGACAGATCGCAGGATACACCAAAACGGTCATGCCCGACGACTGCTGCCGTTGGAAGGGCATTGCGCTGGCCATGAGCTCGAAGACTAGGGTCTTCGGGGATGTTCGTCTGAACGCGATCCCGAAAGATGGGCTGTATTCGCTTGTTGTCGGCCGACAGCGACGACCTAACAGCTCATTCGGTCGATCATCGCTTCGACGGCTAAGCAGGCCGACACACGTCGCCGGCCACACCCCACGCCCAAGTCTCGATGAAGCCGGGAATTGATTCAGAAGCGGCAACG